AGCATTGCACGTACCGTCAAGAGTGGATATATTATCAGTCGAATTGTTCCACTGCCTGCGATCATCTGAAACGGAAGGAAATTGGCGATTAATTTCATGGAAGAAAGATTCTAAATAAAGTTAAACAGTGAGAGTTCGAGTCCAATTAACTGAACTTCAAACTCTCTCAGTCACTCAGAACAAGGAATCACTCAGCACGAAATTAACTCTGAACCATCAGATCACTGACGAAACTTCTTATTCTGGGTAATATTCAAGTAATGTTTGGTTAATGGAGGAATACTGGATCTCAGGACCAGTGGAAGGCAACGGATAAAATGTGTGTTTATAAATTCCGGAAGGCAGAAACCGTATATAAGGAGTTCTTAAATTAAGGTCAAGTGTTTCAAGTTGAATGGTTCCTTATAGAGTTTGATCATCTGTTAGTCAATGAACAACCGAATGGGTGATCCAAGAAACAGTAAAGGTGAGAGGGTATTAGCTGCATATTTAGTTTACATTTGCTTTAGCACCTTAAAAGATTATAACGCACTTTATTAGAATGCAGATTCCATTGTTTTTGATAGGTTTGAAATTCAAAATTCAACAGTTTATTGCATTGACAATTCCGAAATGCCCAAAATGAATCGAAATAATTTGACTTGAATCGGGATCAAGAGTGTACTTGACGTTTGCCATTATTTCAAATGCCCTTCACTTTCGATTTCAGCAATTATCCGCCGTATTCTCTAAATTGTTCGTCTTCTTTGAACTTGTTTGAGTCACTTCGAATCATCCAAATTTCATTCAATTTTTGAATGGAATGCATTAGAAGATTGACTTCGTCAACATTCTTCTCGGAACCAATTGACCGATATTACTAGTGAATGAGTGCTGATATTTTGAGTTTTGTATCGTTTGATATCCTGTCAAGTACTCTTCTTAAGTGTTCAAGTTCTTTCACTAGATCACCATTCCAGGAATTCGTTAAAATTTGAAAACTTCATATAGGGATGAAAAATCCAGAATCTCATTCCTAATTGAGTAATGACTAACTTGATGAACCAGTTATTCCAATGTTTGCTAATTATCGTTAGTTTGTTCCTGGAATGTATGTATGCAACAGTGGCCATTGTAGAATTCTGCTGAGTGTGCCAAAGAATTTTGTTTGATGAAAGTTCGATGTTCAGTTATAACACTGATCAGGAGAGATGCACTGAATGAGATTGAACACTGGGAGATGGATTTTGATAAATGGCATGCATAAATGACATAAATATAGATTGACCACATCTATTGATCATATGATATTATTGTCAACTTGTTAATTTCTCTTTCCATATTTTTAAAACCATTCGGATTCTTGAATCAAAGTACCAGGCTTATGTCTTATAAGAAGTGCCCTACGAGAGGAAATGAAAAGAATAATCTACGAAATTTTTGTTCCGATCGATAGCGTTCACTCATAATGAAGATAAATGGTTTCTTCGAAACGTATCTTTCAGGTAAAAACCTTTGATTAATGCGTATGACCTAATTCTCGGAAGATGTTATTCGTTATTATATTGATTATTCATGACTGTCTTCTTCATCGATTCTTGTCCACTTGCAAAGCACAAAAGTCATGCAGAGATTCTTACAATATTTTCATGATATCGCTCCACGCCATATACCCGAGAGACATTGACCTATCTTGCTNATGCGTATGACCTAATTCTCGGAAGATGTTATTCGTTATTATATTGATTATTCATGACTGTCTATTTCATCGATTCTTGTCCACTTGCAAAGCACGAGAGTCATGCAGAGATTCTTACAATAATTTCATGATATCGTCCCACGCCATATACCCGAGAGACATTGACCTATCTTGCTGCTCTTATAAGAGAAGTCGAATAATTTTAAAGAGCAATCATTATCCACTGATAAACTGATAAGCTGATAACAGTAACAATACAGAAACACTATGCCCTTAATGTATAATAAAATAATAACAACACTATGGAACAAACCGATATCTTACAACCATTCATCTCGTCTGTTTCACATTTTTGAAACATTCCGAACAAACGTAATGCCTAAAAGATGCATCTACGCATTCGAGCGGTCTTCTATCACGAATTACCGACTGCGTTTTGTTGTCATGTTATTCGGTAGTGTACGAAGTATTTGAATGGTATTTAAGTGTTCATCGTCAGAACTCATCATCGTTCGAATGCCCTCTCGTTTCATTTCGTCACAAATCCGTCTTGCATTCATATCAATCACCCAAAACCATCGCATATCCTCATTGATCCTTTCCAGTCCATATCCACACAACAACAGCAAGAATCTCTTTATTGCTCGGTAATTCTCAACAACATTCGCAATATCTGAACAAATCTGTCGTCGACATATACAAATCTATGCATTCATGCTGTCGTATCATTGGATCAATTAGTATTATTATTATCATTCAGAGTTTGTGCACAGGTACATGCGTTTAAAGTGTTCGTATTGAACAGTGGTTGATGTTGTACACACACGAAGCGATCTAAACGTTAAATTGATCTATTTCTGAGCTGATTCTTACTCGATTTTGGAGCGGCTTCCATCGAAATTTCGATGTATTTATGCTGATTTCGAAGTGATTTCGGTTGGATTTCGAAGTGATTTCGGTTGGATTTCGAAGTGACTGTTACTGAGGAACAGTTTATTGCTTACTCAAGCAATAACTTGCAGTTACCTTTTATTGCTGCTACCACATAATTCTCACTGATAATGCCAGTATTTTCAAGTTGATCATTTTGAGATATTTTGACTGTTTTTCGAATCATCAATTTGGATTTGTGCATCATTGAATCCTCTCATTTGAACTGCATTCGTACTGATTAATCCGCTCCATACATTCGAATAATTCAGACATTCGAACGTATTGATTACTTTTTATCGTCATGCTCTGGTTCAGTTTCGCTTCCGTTTGTATACTTCTGTATTCAATTGGAGTAATCGCCTCTTCACCGGATAACGTCGAATTGGATGAGTCTAGTGATGAACTGTATATACTTCTCGACGAGATTAGCATTTACTCGTGTCGTGGCGGTCAGTTTCCTTTCTGAACTCTTTTTTGATCTGCTCATTTCATTTGATTTGTTTCTTTCTTTGTTCACTGCTCAGCGCTTCGGCCATTTATAACGTGATAATTATTGCATTTATATAATTCCATTTATGACGTGATAACGTGATATTCATCTGAAATCCTGCCGGGTAGAAGCATGCGATTTAGAAACAAAATTTGGAAAATTCATCTAGGATTTCTACCATTGACTAGAAGTGCGAGACCGATGGTCTCTTCATCAGAATTAATTCAGATGAAAGCCATTCAAGAAAAAATCAACACTATTGCTTTACCTTACATACAGATGCATAATGATTATGAATTACATCAGTAATCCAAAAAAAGGAGTTCAGTGATTATTTATTCAGTGATAATTCTCAATGCCTGAACAGCTCGTTTCCAATCATGCTACATATTCTGTATTATACCGTCAATATCAGATATCGATGAAAAAAAAAACTTACAATTAGTCCAAAATGTGCCACTTGTATAGGCAGAAATTACTCACAGTTCATACGTTTGACATTTCACGTTCGGAAAAAATCGCTTGTAAAATGTTAAAAAAATCGTCATGGAGTAAAACGCACAATCAAATTCAACGTTCACCTTATGAAAACCAGTTATATGATGACAATCGATGACACTGATCCAGTGAAACTATTAGTAGACTAGACGGATTCGATTATTTCCTGCTGAACTCATCGATCTGATATTCGTTTTTTTTTTCGCTGAAATAGTTTTCAATCTCCATTCCCAAATCACCTCAAAGATGAAATTTGGCTTGCAGAGGTTTCTCAAAAGTTACGAACAGCTTATGAAATGTGATTAGAAAAAGCAACTAATAATTTGGAATTTATCAGGGACAATATCCTCAGGATTAATCAAAGTATTCAGTTTTCTGGAAATAACACCTGGAATATTCACTGATCCTCGCTATGCAGTCAGGAGGTGACAAAATAGAAGACCGAAATCTGCAAAATAAAACATATTTTTAGTCAAAAATGAGATCAAATTGTCTGAAGAGGACGTTAACATCGTGAACGAGAACGGCAATCGAGCTTACTTTATCAAAGCGCCTGGCAATTACTCACTGCAGTTCAAGCAGATCAAAGTGCTCGATAATTTTGGCTACTTGAGTGGAGAACTTAGTGCCACTCTGCAAGTACCGATTCTCGAAGGACCTGCTGGTGAGTTGACACAGTCATTGCAGCTCTCATGAAAGTTTTCTATCGTTAATAGGAAAATATCGGTAATTAGTTGAATAAATAGAGCAATGATTAGGAAGTTGTTTCTTTCTCGAATGCATTCTCAATCTACCTGATAATGCATCGCAATTCAGCAAATCTCCTTTTACAGGTATTCGATTCGA